ATCCTTCTGTTCAAAGGCTTTGCTTTCATTTGCCTGACAGACAACCCATTGTATTTTCCGAAGATGTAGCTCTACAACGTGTTCTGGCTCGCAAAACAATCAACCATAGCATGTTTCTTTCGTGGTTTGAAGCTAATAAAACTTACCCTAGAGCAAAGCTTCTTACCTATGCTGAGTTTCCTACAGAATTTGTTTGGAAAAAAAACAAGAAAGCATGGGAGCCACGCAAAAAGAGATTTTCAATAGGTCGAATGTATTATGTTCCTCCTGGTTCTGGAGAAGTATATTACTTACGTTGTCTTCTCAACTTGGCTAAGGGTCCATGTAGTTTCGAAGATATCAGGACTCTAGATGGCATTGTATATCCTACATTTCGAGACGCATGTTGTGCTTTAGGGTTGGTTGACGATGACAAGGAGTACATTGATGCCATAATTGAAGCAAGTAACTGGTCTTCTGAGAAATCTTTGCGCACATTATTTGCAACGTTGCTAGCATCTGAGTCATTAGTACGTCCCGAGGATATTTGGGAAAAGTGCTGGACTTATTTGTCTGATGATATTCTTTTTCGTCAACGAAAAATATTACATTACCCTGGTATGTGTTGGATATTAATAATTTTTCAAATTTTAACAACTAATTGTTTTAGATCAAATGTAAACCTTGCTTTTGTTTTACAATCTATGCACACGAAGCTATTTTCCAAGATGAGCAGGTTTTATGTTTCAACTAAAATCCACATGTTTTTATACTTTGAATTTCATTCGTGCAATTCTTAATATCGTTTATAATATGTAGAGAAACCAACATATTTTTATTCTTTGAATTTCATGTATGCAATACTAATATCGTTTCTAATATGTAGGGAAATCGTATTCATGCATGTTGTGAAAAACATTTGATCCCATACTTCAAGCCTCTATTAAAAGAGGGACAAGTGCATGGAATAGAGAATCCCATTGTGTCAAAGAATACTCAAAATTTGACTGACCATCTATACAAACTGTCATTTGTTAAAGACACAGTGATAACAAATGTCAACGATGAAGATTTCCCTGACATAATGTTCAAGTTTGAAAATTTTAAAGCCCTCAGTGCAGCCAAAGATATTCAGTATGACCCATGTTTGGTAAGTGTCTATCATTCAATTTATCACAATATTATCCTTTGAAAAAACAAATCTTAATAATGACAAACCTGCATTATGTCATTTTAGATGTTATTGGGTTACTGCATGTTGATCAACCGCCAACTGAAAGGATTGGAAAAAGTGGTACCAAAGTTAGAGTGATGGATATTTGGCTTGAAGATTTAGAGTACACCTCATACAGATTTTTTTTAATTGATTTACCTTGCACAATATTTTTATTTTATTAATACTTACCTCTACATTTAGTGGTGAGAAAATATCTTGCACATTATGGAGCTCATATGTGGATCAACTCTTGGATTATCTCAACCAACAACCACTGCATCCGACGGTGGCTATTATGCAGTTCTGTCAAGGAGCTGTTTACAACGGTATTCCTACAAATTCTGCACAGTTTAAACATAAAACATGAATTTTGATTAACACATTAAATGTTATGCAGATATGAACAAGGCCTCGACCTTTTATGATGTTACAAAACTCATTTTGGATCAGGATTTCCTGCCNCCCACTTTATACTTAATTGAGTTATACTCTATGGCTTAACCTATTTTTAAAGTGCAAACGACATGACACAAACTTACACGTAGGAAGACACACCTGAAATATAATACTTCATCCTTCAAAAAATATTGCAAAAATAATCCCTGAATACGTTTTCTTGATGCCATCATCTGCCAATTAACTTTTTTGAAAGAACTCCATAAAGACCTTAAAAGCATAATGTTTATCAAGTCAATATTAAAAGTGTGTTTAATTGATTAGGCACTTTAAATTTAAAAAAAAGTAGTGATTCATATAGGTTCACTACCAGCTTAGAAGTAAACAAACACCACTTCTCCTTAATTGATTTATACTGTACGCCTTAAACTATTTTAAAAGTGCAAAACACATCACACTAAACTATTATTGTAGAATTAAAGTTCAACAATATTTTAATCAAAGTAAGAACATAGATTATGTCTTATCGACTAACACTGATGTCATTGAAGATGATTATCGTACTCGGTTAGCAATTTTTGTAAAAGTAGCTCGATATCGTTTGGGTGAGGTCTTAGCTTTCAGGGGAGATGATGAATCTTCCGAATCAATCCATCGAGGTAATTTTCTTGAGCTCATATCTTGGTTTTGTAAGACCAATGTAGCTGCTGACAAAGTCATGCAAACAAATGCTCCTAAAAATAATCAAATGACTTCTCTTACCATTCAGAAGAAGAAGAGTGGGGTACGATTAATAAGATACACAGCAGTATGCACACATTCACCCCAAAATTCAATGGGTAAAGAAGCCTGAAACATTAGAGAGCGTGCAACATTAAGAATATGTCTGTGTTTGCGTTCCACACGCCCATTTTGTTGTGGGGTGTTAACGCATGAAGTTTGAACAAGTACCCCCATGGAAGTGTAAAATTGACGCAAGGGCTTATTCACAAACTCAGTCCCATTATCTGTACGAACAACTTTGATAACTTTCCCAAATTGAGTTTGAATCATTTGGAAGAACTGTTTGAGACAACTAGTAACTTCGGTTTTGTCAATTATAAGGAAAACCCAAACAGCTCTAGAATAATCATCAACAATGGTAAGAAAATAATGTGAACCAGTAGACAAACATGGAGAATATGGGCCCCATAAATCACAGTGAATTAAATCAAACAAGGCATCAGCTTTATTAAGACTTGAAGAAAAACTAGAACGAGTTTGCTTGGAAAAGAAACAAATGTCACAGGACTAAAAATTTTTAATTTCAGCTGCACTTTTATTAAAAGGAGGTAAAGACAAAACTTTAGGTGACGGATGACCAAGACGCAGATGCAAAAGAGAGATAGACTCGGCTTTGGACGCCTGGGCGAATGATGGAAGGACATATACTCCATTGCGCACTTCACATTGTCCAATCTGCGTCTTCATAGTTCGGTCATGTATCACACAAAATTGGTCATTAAAGAACACATGACAGTTGTGAGAGTTGACAAGGCAACTCACAGAGATAAGATTGCACTTTGAATTATGCACATAAAGAACATCAGTAAGAATCAAAGCCGGAGACACCCGTACTCGTCCACACGAGTTAGCCACAACGCGTGCTCCGTCCGGTAGGCTAATAGTATACGGAGGCACGGGTTTGATATCCGTCAAACAAGAGAGAACTCCTGTCATATGACGAGAAGCCCCGCTGTCTATTAGCCATTCACACAATTAACACCGGACGTACCTGACAACCTCTCAGAAGTGGATGGCGATGATTCTAGCATGGAAAATAATCGGGCAACCTGATCGGGCGACAAGGCAGAGAGAGACGGGGTGTCTCGGCCGCAGCATGAGCCGACGGTCCAGCGCTGCCCGCATGCTGGCCGACGGCAGTACCTACGGCAGTAGGTACCGGCTAGGCAGCAGACCGTCCTCCTCGGTTCCCACGACTGAAAGAATTTAGTGAAAAACTGATCTGATTACATTGATCATTAGGAGTTGTTTATATACAAGAATACATAACGGGCTAGGTTATACGTGGGCCCAATACAAACTAAATACAAATACCCGCTAACACCTTATTCTTGAAAATCACTTTTTCTACTCTCCCTTCCATATTTTTTCAAATATCTACACAATGTTTTTAAAAAAATTAAATTATATTCTTTTAATTAGTGAAATGTATTTTGTTTAATGAATGAAAGTCGATGGTAAATGTGAAACATACAATCAGCTAATTTAGTATTGCGTAATTTTTTTGGTTCTGCAGATGCAAAAACAAAATAATACTCCGTAGATACTCCGCAATTATTACTATTATTTTTACTCAGAGGTGTTAATAGTAAGACAAAAAATTAACATGCGCTGTATATGTTTTTTAATGAAATGTATTTCTTTATTCATTAAATGTATTTTTTATTTATTATCAAAATGTATTTTTTATAAATATAATGTCACTTTTTTTATTAATTAAATGTATTTTCTTTTCTATTTTTTTATAAATGTATTTTTATTAACAAATGTATCTTGTTTTTTATTAACGAAATGTATTTTCTTTTTAATTGATGAAATGTATTTTGTTTTTTAATATATGAAACGTATGTTTCATTTGAAAATGTAGTGAGTAGTGTGACTGAGATATTTCAATTGAAAATGTAGTGAGTAGTGTGACTCAGGTGTTCATTTCAAATCAAAGTAGTTTGAGTATATTGAGTAGTTTTGAGGTGATAAATCTTTATTGACGAGTACTTCGAATGCTTGGTGAAGACACTCCCTCCGTCCCTATACATCACTTTGTATCAAAGATTAATATTTTTGCTCGTTTAGATAGAATGCACACCCTTGATGCACCTAAACCCTCCCTATTGCCGCTTGTTACGTAACTCCCTCCCGTCTCCTTCGTGCGATCGGAAGAAAGAAGAAGGAAGATGATAAGTTCGTTTCGTTCTTATCTTTTACTTCATATTCTAAATGTATTGCACGTAAATAGTACTTAATCATCTCATAAAATATATTTTTCATAAATAAAACTTTTGTTTTCGTTCTAAAAGTCATAAAAGGAGATCCCACATGAAATCATCTTAAACCATCCAATTTCTGTTTAAATATTTAAGAAAAAGGGAATCAATCATCGAAGGATCAACATTTGTGCTTGAACAAGATTCTAAGAGGTCAAAGCCAATGTTCAGGGACTCAAAAGGATGAAACCGAGACGGGATTGGGCTGAGAATTGCAGAAAAATGTGAAGGTTCTAAAACCGGGATTGGGGCATCCAACTTGGACGCTCCAAGTTGGACACCCTAGGTTTATTGAGACCGACGTAGCGATGACGCGATTTTGCCACGTGGCATGCACAGAATGAACCGGAGGTTAGGGCGTCTAAAATTTGGCGCCCCAAACCTCGATTGTTGATAACCATGGACTTCAAATCTTGGAGGGAGCTTAATTGGCCAATGAGGATCAATATCAAAGATTAATTGGAAAGCTGATTTACCTCTATCACACTCGACCCAACAGTGCTTATGCAGTAGGAGTAGTGAGCAAGTTCATGCATCAACCTCAAGACCCATCCACATGGAGGTTGTCTTCTGGATTTTGAGATATTTGAAGGGGACAAGCAATAGAGGCATCTTTTTCAGGAGAATTATATTGGCCACTTGGATCTCCATGCTTTTACTTATGCTGACTGGGCAGGAGAGTGTGATGAATCTGATGATAGGATCGGAGGTCTACCTATGGCTAGTTCACTTTGGTAGGAGGGAAACTGTCCTGGTTACTTGTAGGAGTAAGAAGCAAAAGGTCATTGCTCTGTCAAGTATCAAGGTTGAATTCAGAGGGATTGCTAAAGATGTTATGCAGGTTCTCTAGCTTTGGAAGTTGTTGGGGAGCTTGGGTTCCGACAGAAGCAAGGGTGTGAACTTTGTTGTGATAAAAAAAGCCGCCATATATCATCATATCAGAGAATCCTGTTAAGCATGATCGCACTAAACATGTGGAGGATAATCGACATTTTACCAAAGAGAAACTGGAAATTAAAGCAAGGTGTTAGAATATATATAACCTTTCTTGGGCCATAACCACAAGCTTGAACTTTTGGTTGATTTGATTTCTTGACATTGTATCAGAGTAATACAAGCAAAGAATAAGTTTGCCAATATTCTCACCAAGGATGTTTGCTGTGAATCCTTCAAGAGTACTCTATGCAAGTTGGGTGTTGTTGAACCCGCGACTTAATTGAGGGAGGGTGTGGGAAATAACAAAATATACATTAAATTTACGTTGATTTTTTTTGGTGTTTTACTTCTTTGTTACATAAGGCATCATTTGTCTCAATAATACCATATCTTTGCTCAAATTCCCTAGAAGTGTGAATTCAATCCGAACGATTACTTTGTAGTGATGTGATCGCATCTGGACTCCCCAAGGCATATGGACATATTTTTACTGTTTGTGGATCTCTTTATTTTCCGTTTGTTTGTCAGTTGGCAATTTGTACCACGTCATTGAAACTGTTTCATTACTAGGACACACGAGTGGACAGTTTAACCCAACATTTGTCCATCTTTAAAATTGAAAATCACAAGGAGTCAAGGAGTACGTAACACAAGTTGGGGACAACATAGAGAAGGAAGGGCTGGGAAATTAGAGAGAGATCTGTTTTTTCTTTAACTGGGAAGCACTAAAACTACTCATCAGTTCGTTTGGGAAATGATCTCCACACACAAACACTACATACTCCGTATATATGCATTCATTCAAATTCCGAAACTTATTAATTACTCATGCAATCATGGGATCCCATCTCTACTTTACCACAACACTATGCTTCTTTAATTTGTTCTGTTCATTAAAAAAACTGATCAATAAACTCACAGAACTTTTGGTCAGTTCACAGTACTCTCGTGTAAAACTCAATGCTCAAGCGATAGTGTGTCCAAAATCTTGTACGGGCATATGATCAAACTCTGTCGTCTAGCAGTTGATTATTTCTCGATCATCTGACGCGACGGAGTGCGAGGTAAGCAAGAAGCCTATAGCTCACCAACATGAATGCCATTATGGATGCATGGGCCCACAAATGGTTGAAACCCATAGATCTTACGGCAGGAAAGTCTGCAACCCTGCAATGAACTCCTCTTGAGCACTCGTAGCGATCGTTCTCGCCGTACTGAACGCCTAGAAGAAGCTTGAAGCAGTAGTAGCTGTAGCTCAGGTACTTCAACCAAACAATGAAAGGTGGGATGTGCTGAACGTAGTACCCGCCGGCAATCAGGAAGACCAGACTTGTGACCGACGCTAACGTGGTGGCTTGTTTTACATCCATGAGAATGGCACCAAAAGCCAGTCCAAGACTCTGGGCGACCAACACACTGAAGAGGACTATGAGTAGGGAGAGGGTGAAAGTGACGGGCTCGGCCTTGAGGCCACCCATCCAGTAAAGGATGAAAGTAAATGCCGTAGGCAATGCAAGTTCCAGGGGAAGATCTCCCACTGTTTTTGCTACAAAGTAGGAGGAGAGCTTGTACATTCCCGACGATCTCTCTTTAATCAGCATTCTCCTTTCTTGGGGAAAGGTGAAGACCGCATTGTAGAGTGGATAGAACCCCCAAAAAACTGCAAAGAAGGACAACATCCCAACCTGCAGATAGTGGAGCCACATTAATAATTAATAGATAGGCTGAAAATTATTTGTGTGGGAATATTTACACAACAAACCATGAATATAATATGAGTGAATGGCTGTTAATTAATGAATTACCCGGTCTGCAACATGGGAAGTTGGAGTGTGCCACCACAAAAGGCCAGCGAGGAATGCAACACTTGTGACTTGGAAGATTCGAAGCTTGTTGAAGGCATCGTATCTCCTCTCTCTCAGTCCCCTCAACAGGAGGATCTTGAATTGATGCCACCAGCTTGTGCACCACTGCTCTCCTCCTCCTGTACCAATCAATCATAACATAAACCCCAACAATTTATTAAGCCCTCTAGATCACTAAACTAAAGAAAACTGGCATGGCATTCGTCACTGGGAACTTTTTTTTAACTAGTGACTTACTTCTTGAAGCATGGCTGCAGCTATGGGCGGCAGCATTATTGTTATTATTATCTAAACTGCAAAGCTCTGTTTTCAGTGATGCTGCAATGTTCTTGTCATAAGCAGACAGGAGAGCTTCCCTAACACCTTTACGCTCCTTTTCTGTAGTGTGGTTACTCATCATCTGCTCCATTACGCTGTTGGAATCTGGCGCAATACCTGTCATTAAATAATCTTGCAAATTTAGATGAAGCCGCCAAATCCCGCGAAACCAAACTAAAACTCGACTGACAAGGGGGTGCAATGTACGTGGAAGGAAAGAGGGAGGGAGTTACTATACCATTGGCAAGATCAAGCATGAGATCAGCAGGGTTGACGGTGAGAGGGGTGGAGAAGCCGACGGAGGAGAAGTATTCCAGGGCATTTCGTGCAGAGCCATAGTATATGGGGGAGCCTTCGGAGAGCAAGACAATCTTATCGAACATGTGGTAGAGGCGGGAAGACGGCTGGTGGATGGTGGTGACCACCGTCCTGCCTCCGGTCGCCAGCTGCTTGATGGTGGTTATGATCTTCAGGGCGGTGGTTGAGTCCAGGCCGGAGGTGGGCTCGTCGAGCAGCAGCAGGCTGGGGTTGATCAGCATCTCCTGGCCGATGCTGACCCTTTTCTTCTCCCCGCCGGATACCCCCCTCAACAGCGCACCGCCGATCATGCTGTTCCTGCACCGGCCCAACCCCAGCTCCGTGATGACACTCTCCACGTGGGCCGACTTGTCCTCCTTGGTCAGGGTCTGGGGGAGCCTGAGGAGGGCGGTGAACGTGAGGGTCTCCTGCACGGTGAGGTGCGGGTGGAGGACGTCCTCTTGGGCCACGAACCCGGTCTGCCGCTTGATCGAGCCGGAGAAGGGGCGGTTGTTGTAGGTGACCTTCCCGGAGAGCTTGCCGTGGAGGCGTCCTCCGATGGCGGTGAGCAGCGTGGTCTTCCCGCTGCCGGATGGACCCAGCATGGCGAGTATCTCTCCGGGACACACCATCCCTGTCACTCCATTCAGAATCGTCTTCTCTCTCCTGCCCCCTTCCACTTTTACCTTGTATACCACTCCTTCAAACTGAGGCATACATGAATTTGTTTTATAAAACCAGCACAGACAGAAGAAAAAAAAAAAACACAGTAGCTAACACACTCAAGGTGAAAGACAAAAACGAGAATATTTAGCGGTGTGGACTTTTTCACTTAGCTTGTCCAAATTTAACTCTTTGACTTTGATGTTCCCGATCAAATTAAATTGTTCGCTTTTATAATTCAAACACTCTGGGGTACAGATTATGCAGAGTTTTCTTTTTCACTCCCGAAAAAGTGGAAGTTATTAGATGCAAGTAATATTCACTGTAAGTGTAATACTCCCTCCGTCCCCCATAGATCTTCTCATTAGCCCTTTTTATTTGTCCACCATAGATCTTCTCATTACCTTTTTTAACATTTAAAATACCACAACTACCCCCACTTACTTTATTTATTACATCTCACCTACCTCATTTAATACACTCCACCCATTTTCATTAAGGGTATTATGGTAAACTTTCACCTTTTTTCAACTCTCCTAAAAAACCACAAAAAGTCAAAACGAGAAGATCTTAGGAGGACAGAGGGAGTATTAAAAAAAAAGTTTATATATGTAAAAATTACTCCTGCCATAAGAAGGAAATATATTAAAAGTTGTACAAAATAAAAAGGGACTTGACTATACTTCCCCCCTTTCAATAAATCCTTCCTCTTTTGACTTTTAGGTCAAATAAGGAGTAGTTAATTTTCTTATTTTGCTCCTAATGTGAAGAATAAATTAAAAGTAAGATGTGATAGATATGGTATCAAAAAAGTAATTTAGAGTAAAATTAATTTTTTAATAAAAAATGAAAGTGTTTTGAAAAAATATAAAAAAAAAAGAGGAAGCATTTATTGAAACGGTGAAAGTATTATATTATCAAGTGAATAGTGAATTCTTTTCGGCGCTATAATAACTTTTTAATTACAATCATATTATCTTTTCACATATAGTTTCTCAGCTCATCAAAGCAGTGATAGTTATATTAGACCACAATGACTTGTGAAAAGAATCAAATAAGACAAATAAAAATTTGATCCTCTTAATAGTGTATACATGGGAGGGAGTATAGGTTAGTGGGTATTTCTCTCACGGACGTCCACATAAAACTTCTCATTGAAGCAAAAAAAAATAATTAGAATAAAAAATTAATATCGTATTTGCTTTTAATAATTTGTCGTTTATACATGTATGCATCCAAGAGAGTCCACTACTTTTTCAAATTCGTATTTCGTGAAACACATGATCTGATTTATTAGGAATTATGGTATTATTCATTTATTTTGATTCAAACATGATTTTAAGGTTCGACCACTCATACATTTTTTTTAAAAAAAAATTATTAATAGAGCAAAAATATTCAAAATTTATAGAAATTTTAATCAAAATATTTCAGCCAAAAACATTAGTAAAAGTGATTGGCTTCATTTTTTTAAAAAAAAAAAAGGTCAGAGATAAAAAAGAAACTGAACCAGTGCATGAATAAGTATGGGATTATTAGTTGGGTGTGTGTATGTGTGCTAGCTAGCTTCACACACCCACAGAAGAAGAAGAAGAAGAAGAAGAGTGACCTTCAAGAGAATGGGATAAAGAGCTCTCTGTAGGAATGGGTGTATATTATTGGGGGGCTTGTCGTCGCCGTCGTGTGAGGCGGCGGAGAGGTGCGGCTGCTGATGGTGATGCGCCGCCGCCATGCTCTGAGGAGGGCTCGAACCTTCTGATGATGGCTTTGGGGCAACGGAGTGAAGGGCAGGCATGCTTGACCGCCTGTCTGGAACTGCGGGCAGGGCAGCTTTAATTAATATGATTAATTTGCAGATCGAGAGAATGAATTGATCGAAGCAGGGAGGCCCCCGGGCAGGGCTTTATAAAACTGCCGATCGATGGGGGGGGTATAGTAGGGGGGTGGGGTGGGGGTGGCTTTACAAAAGGCGAGCGAATTGGACAGATGGATCAGAGCACCCAAACACTGACACACACACACATATAAAGGACCGGACCAGCAATGCAATCCGCCTTGTGTCTCTCTGTTTTATACTCTCTCTCTCTCTGGACCCCACGCTTTCCCGTCTCTTGGATCCCCATTTCACCCATCCTTTATTCTTTTTCCGTTCGTCCCAATTTGATTACAAATTGCGGATTACGGAGTAAAATTTTCTATTTTTTGAAATCATTTTATTTATAAATTGGTATATCAATAAGATATAAAAATTACATATTAAAAAACTATGTCAAAAGTTCTATAAAACAAGAGGTGACAAAAATATTTTATTTTATCAAAAATACTTAATGAAATCGCGTAAATAAACAAAAGTTATCGAAAGGATAGAAAAAAAAAATTGTAATCTATTTAGGAACTGAGGAAGTATAATTCTTTGATTACACTAAGAGCGAAAGTTTGGATCGACCGTAAATGAACATCGGGCCACCCCGACGTAATCAAGATTATGTTTGATATTCTTTATCATTTACTCCGTATTATTTGCTATTTCCATGAAATTAAGTTTTTTATTAGGTGAGCATGTTATAATGTCCTTTGAAAATTTCTTTTTAGTTATTTATTTCGTTGTTCTTCTTAAACCGGCAGAATAGATAATTAATAAATTAGGGTTGGGGGAACGTTTTACTATTAAAGGAGAAGTTGTAAACCTTCTTTTATCAAGCATAATAATAATAATCATCATCATTTTCCCCCTTAATTTTTTTAAGTTTTAAATTTTAAATTGAAAATTCAAAATTCAAAATTTTAAATTTTAAATTTAAATTTTAAACTTTATATTTTAAAATTTTAAATTTTAAATTTTAATTTTTAGATTTTAGGTTTTAAATTTAATTTTTAAAATTTAATTTTTATATTTTAAATTTGAAAGTGTAATTTTTAAAATTTAATTTTTGGATTTTAAAATTTAAATTTAATTTTAAATTTTGAATTTTAAAATATAAATTTTAAATTTTAATTTATAATTTAGATTTTAAATTTTAAATTTTATTTTTTGGATTTTAAATTTTAAAGTATAAATTTTAAAATTTAATTTTTAGATTTTAAATTTTAAATTTTAAATTTTAAATTTTAAATTTTAAATTTTAAATTTTAAATTTTAAATTTTAAATTTTAAATTTTAAATTTTAAATTTTAAATTTTAAATTTTAAATTTTAAAGTTTAAATTTTAAATTTTAAATTTTAAATTTTAAATTTAAATTTTTAGTTCTAAATTTTAAATTTTAATTTTAAGTTTAAAACTTAAAAGTCAGACGGAGGTTGGGGTATGTTTGGGAGATGGAGTAGAAAGAGAATAAAAATTTTCCTTCATTTTTTAATGTAACTTATTTTGCCCTCCATTTCAGGAAAATATTTTCTTTTCACTAATGTCACCAAGCACCAAAAAATGAAATCAAAATATTTCACCAAACACCGGAAAATGAAATCAAAATATTCTTAAAAAATATTTTCCTTCAACCAAACGATTTGCTGTCCACTTTCAAACTCGAACCTCGTTCACCAGTAGTGAGAATGAGGGTCGACAAATTTCAAAGTAGCTAGTATAGAAATCTTGTAATTTCGAGCATATATATCTTCAAAAAGTAATTTATCTATCTATCCTCATTTTGACTTTCTTTCTCGACAACAATGAACCATTTGGTTATCATTTTGCCTCCTTCTCCTTCTCTTTTGTACTCCCTATATGCACATAGTCATACATATTTATCGCTTTGGAATTGTTATTGCCTCATAATCAACTATGGAGTATGTACTCCGTGGTAAAGTAAATCGAGTTTCGTTTAAAGGAAAATTTGTGTACAAATGATTTAATGTATTTTCTATAAATATAGTAAAATAAAATAAAATTTTAACTTAAAAATATATTTCTCAAAGGTAGAAAGGTTATGTTCTATTCCTAGTATTAAGATTTTATGGAGTACTATTTCTTCTATTATCCTTGCAAGCTAATGGATCAATGCTAACAAGAGGCAGGTTGGAGCACAAGTGTTGGAAAAGCGGTTTTGTGAGGATGTCAGCTAGTTGTTCTGAAGACAGAACATGATTAGTAGTCATCGTGTCAGTCATGACGTCTCCCACAAAATGACAATCAGAACCAATTCACCTCTTGGCCATATGTATATCAATTGTCTCATGGCGAACACTATATTGCCCCATGACTTTACATATAAAAGAGGATTTTACGTAAATAGCACTAAAACATAATGATTTTCATTAAATAACACTACATGTATTTTTTTCCCAATATAGCACTTTTAGTCATTATTTAAGTAAATGTTTGTCATCACTGATCATTATAGACATTATTAAGTGCTATTTAGGGAATAAAACAATTTTAGTGCTATTTAGAAAAATAACTTAAGTTTTAGTGGTCTTTAGTGCAAATATTTCTTTACATAAATGTACTTCTACCACTACACTCATTCCTTAACTCTTCTATGTTCCATCCCATTTCACTCACTTCACTTTCATTCATCTTTTTAATCGATATTTTCAGTATCAAACGACGTATCGAAAACTCGGTGCATTCATATGTATGTGAGCTGCTCCAAAGAAAAATTTGTTACAATGTACTTGAGAAGTCTACTTTAATTAGTTTGTGGAAGTGTGTGGATGATGGTTGCTGCTTCACACCCAACAACGGCAAGTGCGGGGTGATAAAAAAGGCAAACGGAAAAGGGTCGTTACAAAACATCAAACTAGCAACTGTTTCAATTCTAAAATAAACAAACAATCATTCAGACCCAAAGTGGAAACTTCATTCATTACATCTCATTCATCAACGAACACAGAAAACATAAACACATACATGCATGCATATCTGCAAGGCCGGGCCAGGCCAATGTTTAATAATTAGATTCAGAATTTTAGATCAATATATATACTTGGTGTAATAATAATACTTCATCCCAATTTTAATTACAATTTTATTTGTTCTCTTCTCTCGATAGCTTTTTATTTTTTTGTGTATTTTTATCGATTATTTAATAAAATAAAATACTTTTGTTGTCACATCTTATTTTGTAGAGCTTTAGACGTAGTTTTTTAATACTCATTATGTAATTTTTATTTCTTATTGATGTATCAACTTGTAAATAATACTTCCTCCGTCTCATAAAGATGTTCTCATTTTGACTTTTAGGAAATACGGAGTATAAGGGAATGATATTTTTGTGATGACTTTTCAAAAAATACTCTTGATGTCATGAGTAAAAGTATGATGTGATGGATAGATTTTTAGTAAAAGGATATGATGTGATAGATAGGTTAAAAACTAATAAGGGTAAAAGTGATTTTTTAATAGAAAAGAGGAAAGAGTTTTTGGGAAAAGAAAAAAAAAGGGAAGGAGTTTTTTTCCGTCAATAGAATATGCTAGCTCATTCATGTCAGTAAATACTCCTCTTCAAATTAGCAAATGAATATCAAGAATATCGATCCTTGGTAAAAATATCAACAATAATCTGTATGTAGTAACAATATAGGCAGAGAAGCAGTGATTACCTGTTTACGTTATTGACATGGACACAATCACAAATATAATTCCAACAATAAATACAAATAATTCCAATAATAAATGTTGTAATAAGGTAAAAAAAAAAAGAAAATAGTCTTCGTAACATTAGACGGACTCATGTCTCATGCATGGTTGTGTATGCATAATAAATTCTAATGGTTGGCATGTCATGCAATATGCTTCGTTTCTTAATTTTACTCCTTTCGTGCGTGCATGCTTCTTTACATCATTATATATAGCTAGACACACACATGTATGTATAAGTACAAACGAGTTGTAAAAATTCAGTTTATACAAAGTACAAAGGAGTTGTAAAAATTCAATCACCGTCACAATAATAATAATAATAATAATAATAATAAATTGTTGGGCTGTACGTACTGTTAAAAAAACGACCCATATCTCGAGTGGTATATGAGATCGATATCACTGGGGTATAAAATGTCCACCCTAAATTGTTCCCCAATAATAAATCATCACACCAACTTGCAAACGGTGGGAGTATTGTCTAACTACCAATGAGTAATTAGAAAATCAAATTATAAAAATAAATCTATCAAAAATCAAAATAATAACTTTTTATCAAACGGATGGAGTATTTTTATTAAAACTGGCGAGGGACGTGTACCTTAATTATACTCCCTTCATTCCACAAAACACTTCCGTTTTAATTTTTTGCGCACCCCATAAAATACTTTTATCCCACCTAAAATGTCTAAAATATCCCTAAAACAACTTCTACCCGCAATAAACTACATAGTGGAATATATTTTAGATATTTTAGGTGGGAGTAAAAGCGTTTAATGAGGTGCGCAAAAATTTAGGGCGGAAGGGTTTTAAGGAACGGAGAGAGTACAATAATTCCTTATTTCGAATTTCATGTACTTTTCAAAAAGAAAAGAGAAATTTACTTAAATAGCACTAAAACATAATGACTTTTCCCAAGTAGCATTACATGTGTTTTTTTCCCAATGTAGCACTTTTAGTCATTATGCATTAGTCATTATTCAAGTAAATATTTGCAATCCGTGGACATTATGATCGAACATTATTAAGTGCTATTTAGGGAATAAAACAGTTTAAGTGTTATTTAGGGAAATGACTTAAGTTTTAGTGATATTTAGTGTAAATATTTCATATGAAATTGGCAAGTAAATTCAAAAAAATTAATAAAAATCAAATAAAAATGAATGGTGAAGAAGTATGTGGTGTATAGAGCTGGCAAATCGGTTGGTCAGGTCGGGTTTGGGTTCGGTCACTTCAAGTTCGGGTTATTTCGGGTTCGGGTCAATTCGGGTTCGGGTCAATTCGGGTTCGGGTTGAGAATTCTATGTTCATAACCCAGTGTCATCGGGTTCGGGTCGACCCAACGGGTTATGACTTTGGTTATTTAAATTTTTAAATTCACATTAATAAATTTAAAATATCAAAAAAAAGTATTAAATCTATAAAATTATTTTATTGTAAACTCTAAAGTAGTATTTAGA